TGAGGGTCATAGCCCGCTCGCATCGGACCACACCCTCAAGGGGAAACTGTTGGGACATAGATATATGAGTAGTGGAGGCCCCTACGAAACAACAACTGTTTACATGTTTCATGGTGCGCAGGTATACCAGGAGGAGCCTTCGGGACCGACCGCTGACCTGGCGAAGGACAAAGCGCAGGGACGCCAAGGAAAGCCTTCGCCTCTGACCACCTGAAGGGCGAAGGCTCGAGCGCAGTTTTCCAAAGGTGCCCGGGAGAGCTCTCCGGCGGAGGTCGCAGAGCGCAAGCGGAGGCTCAAGCGTTTCAAGCGAAGGCAGTCTGATCCCCGCCCAAGAGAAGGGAGCTCTTACAACACTGCGCCCAGAGTCGGAAATGGGCCTTCCACGGGCTTGCGGCTGAGGCCCGAGCGACAAAGGCGGCGTAGAGGGAAAAGTCCCAGGATGCCTCTGAAGATTTAAACTAATCTTAGGGTATTCTGAGAATGTACCTTAGCTGGCAAAGGGCAGAGATGTACAATGAAATTGTAGTACACGGAGCCCTATAAAAGGGAGGACTGAACCCAATGTAGAGGAGGTTGGTGAATGCATTTATGAAAACCTAATTGAGCCAAGATCCATATAACATCTCCCTAGCCTTTGCCCAGGGCATCCAGCTGGGCGAAGGTCCCTCCGTGTCCCACCTGCTGGAAACCTGGTTTTCCAACACACACCAACACAAGAACACACAAAACCCAGCCTCACTCAAGTAAGGTGCCAAGCATGGAAACCAACTCCTTCATAACAGAGGGGCAATTCTTGCTCAAATGATCGAAGCTTTCACTTGCCACAGCTACCTTCAAATTCTCCGTAGAGCAAAGGAAACGAAAGCATGCCTTCTTCAATCCATGGCACTGGTGCTGCTCGGCCAGGGCCAATATGGTTGCCACCGTGCCCACATCAATGTATTTGCATAATTTATCTTCACATATCAGCTTCAATCTTGCCAAATTATACCTGTCTGCGGCAACAAGCAGGTGCTGCGCCATGACATCTTCCTCTTCCTCTCCATCTTCATTGGTTTCCCAATACAAGTCAGTGTATATGAAATGGAGCAAAGCCTTGAAGACCCGAGCCTCCATGTCGTCAATGTGGACAACACTGCCGCTTTTGCTCTCCTTCATCGCGCCAAAGAACTGTGCAGTGAAGACCGGCGAGCGAGCCGCGAGCACGCACATATGCGCGGGGAATGTCTCGCCGCTGACCACGAACACCACGTCGGCGCCGTTCCCGGTCTGGAGGAGGTTGCCGAGGTGTTGGTGTAGGTCGGGCCGGGGCACGGACACGAAGGTGGCCGTCTCGTCCTCGGCGCGGAACTCGTTGATGACGACGATGTCGCACCGGACGGCGAAAGAATCGTTCTTTAGGTGCTCTGAGTTCTCCAAATCCTCCCTCCTGACGAACCTCGCATTTCCCCATCCGCGGTGGCTCCCGTAATTGCTCACCTCCTCTGCCGCTAACAACGCCGGCGGCAGCTCCTCCTTCTCCGGCACCTCACCGACGAAACGAAATCGATGTTGCGCCTTCAGCTCCTTCGCTGTTGAGCCGGAGGCGGGTTCCTCGAGGACGAGGAAGAGGGAGATGTAGTCTTTGGTGTCAGGGTCGTGGCCGTTGGGGTGGTAGTCGATGTGCCAGCGGTGGCCGCCGACGGTAAAAGGTCGGGACTTGAGGTACTCTCCGGTGGGAATCCCCTTAGTGCGGGAGTAGCCGTCAATCCTGAGAATATGGTGCCCGCTGGCCGTGTCGGCGACGATGGCGGAGGCCGAACGCGACCTCTTCCGACCGCTGACAGAGGTGGACGACATGGCTGGTGGCTCGGCGGACCTGATTTATTGCGCAATCTCTGTTTGTATGTCTGTCTCCGGACTCCGGACTCCGGAGCACCGGGAGAGGTTCTTGACTTCTTGTAGGGCCTTGCGCGGACCGCCCCGTAGTGAGGAAGTCCGAAAGAAGACGACGAAGGAGACAAGTTGCCGGCCGGCTACTCGGCTAGCTTCCTTGGGAAGGCGTGATCTTTGATTACGCGGAAATTTCATTAATAAAGTTTGTACCAACGTCACCTTCGAATATCACTAACAAATAATTTCTGAAGACATTGATTGACTACGAAAGGGCCTATAGAAGAGCCTCGGTACCACCTCGGTTCGACTCTCCATTGGGAGTGAATTTTTCAGGATTTAAGGACGTTGTGGCGTGCTTTATGTGGTAGGCGATGTTCCATCAATAGCGAGACGCCTGTGGTGATGTGTGTTGTGTGTGGAATCTAATAATATCAATGTGCATGTCTGATAAAGAAATTCACTATGAAAATATGTTTCATAATTAATCAATGATATTTATGATGTATCAAGATATTAATATTTTGTTAAGATTTGGTTAGATTTTAAATTGTTTGATTTCTTGAAAACCAGAAAATTACAAAAAGAAATGGACACAGAAAGAGTAGTACCAACCTTGTGTTGTTTATTCTATGTAAAAAAATTTGTAAACTACTCAAAGATGTAAATGTTTGACTAATATACTTATATTTATAATCAGAGCAAGTACAGTAGAACATTTTCATAGAAGTACAAAACATGACTCAGCTGTTTGACTGATGGTTTCTGCGGCTGATAAGCCAGCTGATGCTGATTTGTTGTGAGAGAAAAACACCGTACTATGACTGATAAGCCAGGCTGATAAGTTTAAGCGAACACCGGAGATCTCTTTTATCATCCTTCCTGTATTGAATCGACTGAAATTTAGAAAGCTTGCAGTCGACTCAGGGTTCCTGTACTCAAGGAGGCAGGCTAATTAACGGAGGGAGGAGGGAGGAGGGAGGAGGGTAGTAGCTTATTTTCCGCGAGTAGGGCCAAGTTTCTGAGAGCACGAACCAGCGGTGATCTCCAAAGCGCCTCGAAAATGTGGACTAAACTGCTTGGCGTGGCTATCAGAGAAATTAGAAGTCATTTACAATCCTCTTTTAGAATGGGCTGCTTTGATGTTTGAAATCTCCTCTTACTAGAATGCCTTCGTACTGACCCTTTGCCAACAGTTGTCCCCCTCCCTCTGTGGAGCGTGTGGCATGGCAGCGTCCGAGGTAGGCGAGTGGTAGCCTGGTAGGTCAAGATTACATGACAGGACGAACACTGATAGAGCAAAACCAACAGCCATCACTCAATAAAGATGACAACCATCACTAAAACATTCGGATGATCGAGTTAAGCACACAAATAGCAAGCCAAGGTAACAACCATCCCTAAATTCTGCGTCACCTCAGAAAAGTGACAACGCACAGAAGCATTATCTATCCAGATCCATAAAACATGCAGCAATTGCAGGAAAACTGGAAATTTCAAATAACAAGCTAAGATGATGACGAGGTCACTCATTCTTGATCAGTCTGTAATGCTGTACAGAATCAACAGATTACCAAAACAGAGATGGAATGAGGCTCATGGCATTGTTGTGCTGTGCGAAACATTCTACTGATGATCAAGTTAAGAACACAATAGCAAGCCAAGGTGACAACTATCACTAAATTATGCATCTTCTCAGAAAAGTGATGAAGTACTTACTCAAATAAAAAAATGCAACAATTACAGGCCAACTGGAGATTTCGAATAACCAAGTCATCACTCTTGGGACTGTTGCGCTAAAACATTCTGATGATCAAGTTAAGAACACAATAGCAAGCCAAGGCGATAACCATCACTAAATTATGCATCTCAGAAAAGAGACGATGTACTCATCCAGTTAAAAAAACGCTACAACAATTGCAGGCCAACTGGAGATTTCAAATAACCAAACCAGCTGATCACGAGGTCACTCGTTCTTGATCAGTTGGTAATGCTGTACATATGCAACAGGGTGACAAAATAGAAATGGAACCATTGCTCCTTAGACTGCAAGTTAGTCATATACCTCATACCACAAGTCTGGAAAACATGTAACCATTGCTCTGCTAACACAAGTGATGACGAAGGTAAAAAAACAAAGCAGCAAGCCAACATCTATTTGCTAGAACACTGAGCATCACTCGTCAAGACAACAACCTGGTATTTAGCTCCATCCAAAGTACTGCAAAGCAACAACCATAGACACTGCAGAATCAATTGGTGGAACTATCAAACCATGGAGAACTACCTGATCCTAGCTAGAAACCTTGCCTGAACCACCATTGCTAAAAAAGAGGACAATTACCTGACGAATGCACTGCCAATGCCACAAACCATGTAATGCAACTGATTGAGCAATGTTTTCAAGTCGTCCAGTCGAACCTAGTCGTCATGGGACCGACCAGGAGACTAGTTGTGATTAGTCGTCGACCAGGCCGATTAGTCGAGCCTAGTTGACCCTTGGTCGTCCTGTATATCAGGACATATATACCTACTATATATATACCTATATATACTATATAGTATACACAATAAAGCAAGCATCAGACTACATTAGTGTTTAGCTGGTGACTTACTTGTGGGAGTTGTTTTCTTCTCTTTTCTGCCATGTCCAAAGGTCCATATTCCTGTCCCAAACTTCATTTCTTTGCTGATTTGCTGCTGGAAGCCTAAAATACCAAAGAAGACCATAATTAGCAACACTAATATAGTCTTGATCTTGACACAGCTCAACAGCAGCATTGCTGCATTAGCAAGCACTGCTACAGTAGCAAATAACTAGCATTTAGCAGTTAGCACATAGCAGACCATAGCAGCCACACAGCCAGCATATTACATAACCAAACAAGTTCAGTACACATAAGCTAAAGTGTTCAACACAGAGTCACAAACATTGACATTTAACAGTCCAACAAAAATAGGCAACTAGCCATCTAATTAAGCAAATCAACATTAAAATTGAAGCCTCCATCTCCATCTCCAGTTGGTCCATCTCCAATTTCAGTTGGTGTAGATTCTTCATCCTCCTCCATTGCTATTGATGAATCTACATGTTGATCTTGATCTTCATCATCAACTTCATCAATATCTTAAGTCACTGTGTTCCTTGGACGCTTCCTGTTCCTAGCATAAGTACGCCTCACAAGGGCAGCAACAGCAGCACTAGTAGCAGCAGCCCTAGGCAAGTTGCGTCCCTCTAGACCCTGAGTTGCACCAATAGCCTCATCCACAACAGCCAAAGTCATAGCATCACCACCACCTTTCTGAACTGGTTCTGGTTCATAATTTTCATTGACCCATTCATTTTCCCAATGAAATTCATCAAGCAAGAGTGGATTGCATCTATTTCCTTTGGAACCCAGCTCTCTAATTATTTTTAAATTTGTTTTCCATCTTACGGTTGTTTTTTGTATGGACCTACACAAAATATAATGCAGAATCACATATCAATATTACTACCATACTTAATTACTCAGCAGTAGTACACTAGCACTTACAGCAAAAAATTCACTCCAACTACGCTCGCATCCAGATGCAGCGCAACAAAGGCTAACAATCCTTTTTGCTAAACATTCTAACCCTATTAGGCCAAACTGCAAGCCCAGTAGCCCACATGTCCGCCCAGTTAAACAGGTCCAAAAAAAGAGTAACCAAACTGGTCGTCCCTGTCCTAGTCGGACGACTAATCGCGATTTCTCGTCGACTAATCGGACGACCAGCTTTCTGGTCGAGCTAATCGAGTCGGACCTCCTAATCGAACACCAGGGACCGATTAGGACGAGTAATCGCGATTAATCGGACGATTTGAAAACATTGGTACAAAACAATTGTTAAAGATGCCTAGTGCCCTAGTTCCAGCATATTCTAATCTATGCAACAAAAATGAGACAACCAGAGATGCTTAGTGAATATTCAATCATCATATCTACCTGATAACAAAGTCCATCCTAATCAGTTGGTAGAGCCGTAGAAGCGAGTTAACTTACTAACCTTTTTAGATAAACGAATATAACATTCTGGCCTCCAACTTAACTTACTAACATAGGGCCATATACCCGTCCAATTAACCAACATAACATAGACAAGATGAGATTACTGCTTGTGCATCTGCATAGCTACCTGATAACAAACCACGAGGTGATTTTTAGTGCCAATGCTGAAGACACTGAACTTCACTAGACTACGATTCGAGCATAGACATCAGATCCTTCTCGATGGATGGGCAGCTTCTGCTTAGATGCTTGAAACCATCACTGGCCATTGCCGCCCTCAGATTTGCCGGATTGCTAAGAAAACTGAAGCATGCTTTCTTCAGTCCGTGGCAGTGGTGCTGCTCAGCTAGTGTCAGGATGGTGGCGGCATTACCCACATCAATGTACTCGCACAGCTTATCCTCACACATCAACTTGAGCCTTTCCATGTCATACCTGTCCACCGCAACAAGCAGGTGCTGATACATGACATCTTCATCTTCCTGTCTCATCTCTGGCAACGAGTCGGTGTACAAGAAGCAGAGTAGCGCCTTGAACACCGGCGCCTCCATTTCGTCAACTTGAACGACATTTGCCAGGGTGCAGCTCTCCTTCATGGCGCCAAAGAGCTCAGCGCTGAAGACAGGGGACCGGGCAGCACGCACTGGTGCGCGGCGAACGTCTCCCGGCCGACCTGGAACACCACATCGGCGACCTTCTCTGTCTTGAGGAGGTCGCCGAGGTGCCGGTGCAGGTCGGACAGGGGCACGGACAAGAAGGTGGTCGGAGTGACCGGCTCCTCGGCAAGGAACTCGTCGAAGACGACGATGTCGCAGCGGACCGTGAGGGAGCCGCGCTTGCTGACATAGTAGTCCAAGGTGTTCCTGTGGAGTAACCCTGAAGACCGGCGACCAGTACGGCTACCAAAGCTCGTTACCACCGCCGGTAACGCCCTCACCTTCTCATCCGTTCTCTTCCGGTTCCGGAAGAAGGAAGCTCGCTCCTCCCCCATGAAAGCGAACTCGAGGAAGAGGAAGAGGGCTATGTAACCCGTGCTAGCGGTGCGGTCGCCATTGGGGAAGAAGGAAATTCGCCAGCGGTGGCCGCCGACGGAGAAAGGGCTGGACTTGATGGGCACTCCGGCAGGGATACCCTTGATGCGGCAGCAGCAGAGGCGGCAAGGTACTATCGGAGCTGGTGGGGTAAGAGAGGGAGCGTGATTGAGAAAGAAGATAAGATAGACATAAGTGAGGATGCGTATATTGGTGCTAATTCAAAGGTGTATCCTAGTAAGCTCCAAAACTTTTCAAGAAAACTTGGTTATATGCGTTTTAAAAGAACAGAAGAGCTGTTGCTATTCATGATTCAGACATGTCAATAAAAGTTATTCGGGACTCAAAGGGAACGAATGCCTTTTCTTCCAATAACGATTTGCCATGTGCATTCATAGATGAAACAAGAGCACGTGTAGGGCAACAAATTAAATGGCAAAGATGTAATTTCGAGACCAAGAACACGATGTGGAAATTGATGATACCACAAATTCTCCGTAGCAAGGTTGTTGGGAGAATGATTTAGAGCATGTTTGGTATAGCTCTGCTTTATTAGTGAAGTAGTTTTTTTTTAGCTTCGGCTCGTGGAGCAACTCCACTTGTGAAGATGATGAAGTTTCGATAAAACGTCTTCTCATGGGAAAAAAGATAAAGTGACCATATTGTCCTTCTACTTTTTCTTTCTTGTTTTCTATTTTTTTTCTTTTATTTATTTCCTTCCTTTATTTGTGGCCTTTCATCCTGCGCCCACCACTTGCCCTCACAACCGTCCTCATCCAGCCACCAGCCCTGCTCTCCCAGCGCACCAGCCTCTGCACCTCTCCGCCCTATGCCGCCGTCGTCTCCTCACCCCACATCGCGACGCCTCTTGTCTCTCTCTGCCGGCCTCCTTGACTGCACCACGCTTGACTCTCTTCTCCTCTCCTTTCCTTTAACGGCGCTCGGCCCCACCGGTTCAACACCTCACCTCTCCCTCCACTCATGCTGAGGGTAATTGCGCCTTGAGCCCGCAGATCGAGGACGGAGCGAGGAGAAGCCATAAATTTCAGCTTCGTCTCTTGCCGAAGCCTTCTCTCATCAGTGCAAATCACGGAGCTGCATGTCCGGAGCTGGTGCCCAACCTCCCGTTTTCGTTGGCGACAGGGCGAAGCTGCTCCCGGAGTCGGGCCGGGAGCGCTAGTAAATGCCCCCTTATTGGCAATGGTGAGGATTGCTCACTCAAAACCGCCGTGCCTTTGGCCGAGCTCAACCGAGAATAGTACGCGCATGTCAATGTCCGAGTCTTCCTCTGGGTGATGCGGTAATGGCAACACAAGGACACGCCCCGGCAGGACGGTTGTGGGCCTCCACAACTTCCCCTCTTGCCTGGCCAACCCCTCCAGCGCGCTGCTTGCAGCACACCGGCGCCCTGCTCCTGGATGGTCATTCATGCCGTGCCCGCCACACGGCATGTAGACGTCTCTCCGCTTACTTCCGCAGATGCCCTCTCTCCGGCTAATTCCGGATAATCTTCAGCGACACACATGAACATCACCAGCCACTTGACGAAAGCAACCACAAGACTCTACAATGAGAGATGACTGATGAGATAGAATCAAACAGTTGAAACCTCTGCATGATACAAGTATGTTTAAGAATTCAGTGTTTCTGAACCTGCATATGTAATCTGACCCAGTGTTTCTCGCTTCTAACTTGCAAAAGTAATATGGTTCTAGGCTGGAAAAGGCAAAGAAGTCCTGATGACTTTCCTTTTTTTCTTGCAAGCATCAAACAATATGCTTAGACAATATACCACTGTATCAACAAAGTTAACTTTTTACATTGTAACATCAGATTGGGCATTAAGAGCATACATAAACAAAACGGCAGCCAGAGCCGAGAAATGGAAAACATGTTTTTGCACAACATTGTTGAGGCAGTAGAAAATTAACCAGGGTCTGGATTCCATCTGGGCAGTGAATGGGAGGCCGAGACTAAAGATGGCAACGGGGCCCGATACCCGATACCCAACGGGTATTTGATCCATTAGGGGACGGGGATGGGATCATATCTTTACCCGCGGGCATCTAAATGGACAAGAATCTATCCCCGACGGGTATAGTGGGTACGAGAACGTTCCCTGTTTACCCGTCCCCGTTACCCGTTGGGGGAACCCGACTATTTGAGCAGTCATGTGAGTATTAGGCTCAAAGAAACTCAATATAGGTATTTTGGCCTAAATCTGAACAATCATATATATAGTTTGTGTGTTCTAGGAAGCCTAGTTCAATTTTTCCTCACCATCTCCGCCAACAGCACAAGCACACCTACCTCACGAGCGCTCGTGCCCCTCGCTTCCTCAGATCGATCTCTCTGCCACCTTTGCTCGTTCTCCTCGCAACCTCGCTCCTTCTCCTCGACATCTCCGAGACTCCGACACTTATACCCGGGTGAAAAAGAAACGTCTCCGATTGCAAAGCTACGACCCCAAATGTCCTTGTTTATCGGGTATGCAGTACCCGTCGGGTATCTGTTACCCGACCGATGCCCGACGAGTACGGGGATGGGCAAGAATCCATACCCGAGACAGTTAACGGGGACGGGGACGGGATGAATTCTCCGTAGCGGGGAAGAGAACGTTCCGGCGATACCCGACGGGTACATCCCCGTTGCCATCTTTAGGTATCGGCCACGTGAACGCCACCTAGGATGCCCAGCTGTGCACGGCCAGGCGCATCGGAGCCAAGTTCTGTGGCGCCGAGACGTTTTACCTCGGCGTCATGAGTCCTGACGACGACCCCAAGGGTCTAAAGATGAGTTTAAGTCGCCAGGGGCCGAACGTAAATTTTCTTAAAAAAAAAGACCAAATTATAAAAAATCGGGCAACAGCGCCATGGGGGCCTTCCCTCCCTGCCCCCCGGGGCCCCCGGCGCCCGAGACGGAGCATTAAGCTAGCTATTGAGGTCACCAACCAAAAACAGCCTTATCACCAAAAACATAACTAAAAATAGCTTAGCTGACAGAAACTGCCTGCATCTATTGCTCATTTTGCCTGATTTATGTCTTCTGTTGTATGTATACCCAACAGAGAAGCATTTGCACTCTCATATTAGGAGATTTTTCTAATATAGAATGTGCTAGTTGATGGCAGCCTTTAACTTGCTACGAGTATTTTATAACAAATGGTCCATGCAACTCTTTAGTTCCGGCCAAAAAAAGCCTATTTATAACAGTTTACTAGAGGGGTTAAGCAACAAGCAGAGAGGTAGGCAATAGTAAGCAAATATCAAACAATCATGTAACAAAGCAGTTCTAGGACTGGGTAGGTAGAGACTAGAGAGGCAATAAAGTAAGTAACATGAAAACAGTAAGCCAGAAGTAACAATTTCAGTGTTTAGGCATCTCCTTACGAAACTGAGATCATCCGGACCTAATGGGCAGAGCTAGATGATGACAAAGATGTTCCAGATTAACATTGAACAGGTAGTTTTGCATCTTCCAACACTCATAATATCATACAAAGTAATGGCCAGGCTACTAAAAAGTCAGGTACTAACAATTCCGAAACAATGATCATCACTGATTTCAGGTGACAAGCATACCAATCAACTCCATCATGACAGCTGGGCAGCTTCTGCTTAGATGCTTGAAGTCATCAGTGGCCATGGCTGTCCTCATATTTTCAGGGACGCTGAGAAAATCGAAGCAAGCCTTCTTTAGCCCGTGGCAGTTGTGTCGCTCAGCTAGCGTCAGGATAGTGGCTACTGTGCCCACATCAATATACCCACACAGTTTCTCTTCACAGATCAACTTGAGCCTCTCCAAGTTGTATCTATCAGCTGCAACAAGCAAGTGCTGGGACATAATGTTGTCCTCTTCCCCTTCCCCTTCCCCTTTTTCTGCTTCCTCTGTCTTGGTGGGTAATGAATCAGTGTACACAAAGTAGAGCAAAGCCTTGAAGACCCGAGCCTCCAAGTCGTCTACACGGACAACGTCCGTCGTGTTGCTCTCCTTCATTGTGCCAAAGAGCTCTGCACTGAAGACTGGTGACCGGGCGGCGAGCACGCACCGGTGTGCCGCGAACATTTGCCCACCCACATCGAAGACCACGTCAGCGCCCTTCTCGCTCAGAAGGAGGTCGCCAAGATCCTGGTGCAGGTCAGACGGGGGCACGGAGACGAACCTTGGAGGGGCCGTCTCTACCATGGCGCGGAACTCGTTGACAACGACGATGTCGCACCGGACGGCTTCGATTTCTCCAGCTCTACCCTTTTGATGAACTGTTGACTATCCCCAGCCCCCCGAGTTGCTCGCAAAGCTAGTCACCGCTTCCAATGTCTCACCGGCTCCTCCCCGACGTTGTCGACAAGACGGAACTTGTACCGCGCCTTCACCAAACTGGCGACACTCCCGTCGTGTTGAAGGTAAATGGAGATGAAATCCGCGTGCTCCGATTTTAATTCGTTGGGGTAGTAGTGATTTCTCCAGTGGTGGCCACCGACGGTGAAAGGGTGAGACTTGAGGTGCTCTCCGGTGGGTGTACCCTTGGTGAGCGAGTAGTCGTCGATCCTGAGAATGTGATACCCCCTTGCTGTGTCGGCGGCGATGGAGGAGGCGGACCGCGACAGCTCGCTGCTGCAGCGACACCCGGTGCGCGCCATGAGATACCTAACCTAGCCCTTCTCTCTTGTCGGCGCTGTAGGGTTTTGCACTGGACCAGCCGCCGCGGAATTGCGGGAGACCCGAAGACGGGGAAGAAGAAGAGTCGCTGGCTTCCCCCAGAAGACTCGGACTCCCCTCCTGATGGGCCGTCAAGATTGGGCCAATGCAGAGCACCAGTGCAGCAGTAGCCTTGGGCTCTTCACTATTCCGGGCCTTCGATCAGCTAATGGATGGACTTTCCTAAAAAAAAAAAAAGGTAACGAATGGACAAAAAAAAGGTTGGAATATATGGTACTGCCGAACTAGTGTGACTATGGATGTAAAAGCAATTGGAAAACAAAAAATATATATATTTAGTTTTCTTACATAGTTTCATTATAGCTAGCGTATCATAACTTTGGAACTTAAACTCAACATTCAGCCTGTTCGTTTCGGCTTATACGATCGTGCATTATAAGCTGGAACAATATTTTTCTCTCACACAAAACCAGCCAGCAGTACTTCTGGCTTATAATCCACGATCGTTTCAGCCGAAACGAACGCTGAAAAGTAATAAGAACAAATTGAAAGTCAAATTTTATTAAGGAATATACTGGACTAATTCAAATACCTTTTGGTGGAGTGAATGGAGTCAACATTTTACTTGTAGAATAACAGAGAAAATAAACTGTTCGCAAAGAATAGGTGGCTTCAAGATTTGGACGCTGTTTGGACTTCAAGATTTGGAGGCTGTTTGGAACGCAACCCAAACACAAATTAAGCGTGAAAAAAACTGATCAAAGGACAACCTTTGCTGAAACAATATGATGACATAAATGAAACATAGGCCCCGTTCGCGTGCCCTTAAATCCGACTTGGTCCGCTTCTTTTTTCATCCGGAACAGTGTTTTCCTCTCACAGATTCCTCTAGAATTCATCCGAACCATTTAAATTCCTCCAAAACCATACCATCCGAACAGGGCCATAGAAGCACGAGGCTGTTTGGAACGCAACCCAAACGCAAATTCAGCATGAAAAAAAAACTGATCAACTTAACTGATCAAAGGACAACCTTTGCTGAAATAATATGATGACATAAATGAAACACAGAAGCACGCGCACAATCTTGCTAGAACGCTGCATGCGCTCCATTTATTTATACTAATAGTCATTGCTGGTCATGCCACGCACGCGGATGAGAAGAAAGCCGCAGCCAAAAAGCCGCAAGGAGCTTCTGAAGCTTCACTCCTTAACAAACGGCCTTGACCAATGAGGCAACGACCAAGACATGCATGCATGAGAAAGGAGTAGGTGGCCAGCTAATGACTGCCTATATAAAAAGATGTCTGGGTATCACTAAGGTCGACACACAAAACACAACTTGCCCTTAGTCTTAGCGAGCTACAGTAGTAACCATGAGTGCACGAAAACTAGTTAAGCTAGCTAGGAACCGAAATGGAGGACTATGACCTCCCGTTTACGTGCTCTATGTCCTACAAAATTCCTTAGTTTTCTTTGATTTTACATTTGATCTTTTATTACCCGATGCAACGCACGAGCATTAGTCTAGTAAATAATAAAAATATGGTTAGTCATATTAACTATATAAATTATAAATTCACAATCATATTAATTATATGTTCATCATTTGTATTTAAGATAAGATAAAACACTTCCTACTAATTACTTGTAGACATGACTTTTAAATACTTTCAACCTTTAAAAGTTGATGAATGGCAACTACTTAAAAATTATATTAGTATATCATTAGTAATATTAATTACAATTAACATAATTAGCAATATTAAATTAATGTCATTAGTTATATAAAAGTTAATTAAAATTTTCTTTTTATATATCCTTGTTAATATTAAAATTAATAGTATTAGTTATTAATTTAGAAAAAAAATATTGGTACATTTAGTAATATTATAAAATTAATATAAGTAATCATTAATTGCAATCCATTTCTTCAATTGATTTCTTCTAGTTCAAGAAATTCTTCTTGGAGTCAAAGTTGTAACCCTTCTTGTTTAACTTTTTGAGAATTTTGGTGTTCTTTCTCACAAGAAGAGCTATCTCATGATTTCCATCTTCATCGTCACTAGATTCTTCCTTCATTTTCATCTTCTCATCTCTATCAAACCATGAAAGTTAAAACCAATATCCTTTTTCTTGTAGGATGAGGAGCTCTCTTGGGGAGTGATATGTATGAATATAAATCTCAACAAAGGCATTGACCTTGTTTACCAAATTGATGAATACAGGGTCACAATGTTCGGATACTTCTCCATATAAGAACTCAAAGAATATATTCAAGCAAGAGTACATATCATTAAAATTCTCAAGAAATATTTTGAAGGCATTAAGTTTCTTAATCACAAATTGATAATGTCTCTCACGATCATTCTTGGATCCTTTATGATGGATGCAAAATAGCGTGTGATGAAAACGAACGGGATCGGTCGGGATAAATCTTCTCCCGTTTTCACTTTTACATTTTAATATAGAAGAAAAAACAAAATTGAGAAGGCTAGAAACGGGAACAAAAACAGGGTTCACCGAAAATTGAAAACGAGTCAATTTGAATGAAAACATGTGGATAATGGTCAGAATACGGAAAGACAAAATAGGAACGTCCACACAAAGAACCAAGAAACATGACTTCACATACTAACATACCAACCTGGCATGACATCACTACCAATACATGAATAATTCTAATTCATACCATACGGTTCATGAGATGACAAGAGTATAAGAGTGCTAGACCATAAGGTCAAGTCAACCATATCATTTTTGTCCCATTTCGGTCAGGATGGTTGCCAATACGAATTCAAGTGGGTTAAATGTAGAAACCAGGATGGAATAGAACATGATTTCTCTCGACAATGTTTTAACCCTTCTTGTTGAACTTCAATGGTCTTTCTTACAAGAAGAGCTATGTCATGATTTTCTTCTTCATCATCACTAGATTCTTTCTTGTTTTTCATTCTCATCGCTAACAAGCCTAGAAAAATAAAACTGATATCTTTCTTCTTGTAGGAGGAGGAGCTCTCTTGGGGAGTGATATTAATATGAATATAAATCACTATTACGTTAATAAATTTTATATAATAGAAAACAAGTTGCGGCTTCATCCCCTTTGAGAAGGAGCATCAGACCAAATTATTACACATTGTGGCACACCACCCAAATGACAAGTAAAGTTTAGCAAATTATTACGTTAATATTTGGAACGCAAGGCATGAGCACACATGGTTTCAGGGTTTTAACCGAAGGTGCCAACCTTTTTGTATGAGCATAATAGCAAGCACTACTAAAAAATGATTTTGCGAGGCACTGACAAAAATTAACAGAGATGGTCATAAAATCCAACTATCTTCTAAAATACCTAAGGATTTACAGAGGCGGTCGAAAATTGCCTGCCTCCTAAAATAAATTTACGGAGGCAGTCAAAATCCAACCGCCTCCTAGAATGGATTTTAGGAGGTGGACCTCTTAAAAAATGGAGGTCATTTTCGGAGGCGGACTCCTCAAGAGGCCTGCCCATGTTAATGTGGTCGAGCCCACTAGCAATTAGAAAAGCCCATTTTGGCCCGATATCACGCTCTGAGTATATATAAATACATAGACTTAGAGTTTCTGTCATCTCTCTCACCCATCTCAATCTTTGGCTGCACAGTTGAAAGCCCTAGTTTGGTTTTGGATAATTGTGAAACCTAAGTGAGCTAACCCTTTGCTCTAAGTGTCTTGAGATAGGTTGGTTCACACCAAGTGATGGAGGAAGAAGGCACTCAAGTGATGGAGATGGCCACATGTGATGATGATCAAGGGCTCCAACTTGGAAAAAGAAGAAAGAGAAAAATAAAACCCTATGGGGATTAAGACAAAGGTATAAATAGGGATTTTGTTTTGCCGGTACAGACACTATAGAGAGTGTGACCGGATTTAGGATAGATGATCGTACTATTAAGAGGGGAGTTCTATTAGACAATTCGGTCATCTAGTGCCACTAGGTGTTCAAAAACTATGCATTGCATATAAGCCTAGTGCACATTAGTGAGCAAGTGAAAATATTTATGAAAAATGTTTTAAAAATGCTAACTTGGCTCTAAACATGTTTGTGAAAACATTTGATAGTTAGCAATGCTTGCAAAGGGCTTGTTTGGGATGTCAGTGTTGCCACCTGGGTGGCACCGGATAGCTATTCGGTGGGGCCGGACAGGCAGCCAAACAGCAGCGTGCGCGACCAAGTCTAGGAGCTAGCACTCCCACGTCCGGTGCACCACTGTGCACACCACCACATTTTTCCCAGACTTGTGATTTGTGGACTTCGTGAAATGGGGTCACCGGCAGGCTGTCCGGTGCACCGCCATAAAATTCCAGAGAGCACGGAAAATGTGAAACGTGCATTTGGGGGTCACCGCTAGGGGTGTCCGGTGCCACTGGCGCAAACGGCTAGTTCAAACTAGCCATTGGAATTCGACCGTTAGGGTCACTAGACATGTTGTCCGGTGTGACACCGCCATGTCCGGTGACCACGTAGAAAGTTGCTCCAAGGGTGTAACTTTGGAGTGTGGGCTATAAATATATGGTGTGGCCGGCCTTGGCCACTCTCTTCACACACATACATTTGTGTGAATCCTTTGAGAGCTAAAAATTCACTCCACTTACTTTGACACTTGATTTCATCATTTGAGTGAGATTGGATAGCCTCTAGTGCATTGCTTCGAGTTCTTGCATCTTGTGGCACTAGAAGAGCGTATTGGGCTAGTGGAATTCTTGTTACTCTTGGTGTTTGTCAAGTGTGCCCTCTCTTTCTCTCGGCCGCACAGCACGTTCTCTTTCTTGCCACCTCTCTCTCTCTCTCACACACACACCGGATCCGACTGCACGGGCTCCACCAGTGGCGGTGGGCTCCCTCCACTCTCCCACAGCGGGCTCTGGTGGTGGTGGGCTCCCTCCCCTCTCCCACGGTGGGATCCGATGGCGGCAGGCTCCCTCCGATCTCCCACGACGCTGGATCCGGCCACGGCGGGCTCCCTCCCCTCTCTCACTGTGGCGTGCGAGCTCCCTCTCCTTCGAGTTCCTCCGACATGCGCGTGTAGCGACCAGATGCAGCGGTGGATCAAGCTCCCTGCTAGCGGTGCATCCGGATCGAGCTCCCCTACGGCGACGACAGTGCATAGCCCAGATCCAGGCCTAGGCCCAGTTTGGGCTACGGGCTTTTTCTATTTTTTGTTTTTTTAATTTATTTTCATAGGCGGGTGTTGACAGTCTCTACCACCAAAATAAACCATCAATTTTACTTGCTCAAATCCTTAAAATCAACCATCACCATAGGTTTAGAAGCTTTAAACTAATGAATTCCACAAGTCTTGGTGAATATTTGCATGCAGGTTAATTCAGGCATTCTATGGGCCAAAATGAGACATAACACGTGAAGTAATTTTGATGATCTACGACGGACTCAACCAAAAAGGGCTTTAAGACAATTATCCAAGACATACCGTCAAAGATCAGCTCGAGGCGCTGACAGGAGGGGCAGTTGGCCTCACCTCTAGGCCGATCGGCCTGTGGGAGCCACCTGTCAAGCTCCCCTTCGATGTGGAGTCTCTACCGCCTATGAGGATCGATCTCCACTGTGCTTCCAAGTCAGTTTGAATCAAGGGATGAGATGAGGTCATGACACGGATCGATGACGTGGCAATTACTTGCCCCCTCTACTCCATCTCCCTATAAAGGACCCCCTGACCTTCTTTAGAAGGCCATCCCAGAACAATCCCGGAGAATTCCCAATCCACTCCGTGAGGATCCATTCAGAGAAGAGAAGAGCTCCACAAACTTAGTGCTTTAGCATAGCATAGTCTAGTTAGATCAAAGTAGAGTCGGGCTTCTGCTCAGATTCTGGATTCAACCATCTAGAGGCTTTGTATATCCTTTGTATTCAATACATTTATCTTATATTATGGCTTTGATCTTCATTTATATCATGTTCTTAGTTATCAAGTTCATAGTATATTTTGATTGTATGCTTAGTATAGTCAAAGTTGTTAATATGATTATGCATAGGATCACAGAGCGCTCGATCAAGTGTTCGAACTGTTTGAGTAGCCAAACTTGTGTAAGCGTGGTGCCTAGACAATGTTTTGCCTGTGGATGCACCCTACATGGCGGAACGTGTGGTAGACCAAGTAGAGTGACACTACAAGGTTCCCTCTAATCCACCTCCCATATGTAGGATTAGTAAGGACATAGTATATTTAGCTATGCTACTCTTTAGAGATGTCCCTTATGCATGAAAGTAGAGATAATCTTTTGCTATTATTAAGTATATAAAGTGATGGTATGCTATGACTTGTGATTAATAATTACTTATGAATTAATCTCACTTGTATTTAACTTAGACTAGCTATTGCTACTTTATGGAGTTTCTCTCTGAATGTTAAACTTATTAAATTCATTATACTTATCATATACATCTATCTTTTGGCTTACCCCTGTCTAGAGTAAGTGAATAAGTTATTTAATAGCATTATAAGTATAAGTTATCAATCTCTTTAATGCAAATCGTCCCTCCTAGTGGTAAAATTATAAATAACGATACCTGAATTACTCCTGGTAAAATGCTACAATGATAATCTGTATGCTTGTGGATTCCTTAATATTATATTTGCACTCACAACTGTCAACAGCGGGCAGAGCAACCGCCTACGTTAATCCGCATTAACCGAGTCCTTTCGATGGAGGCGGTTGCTTTGCTCAGCTCTAAAAATCTAAAATGATCGCCTTGCAAAAGATACTGTAGTAGTGAAGATTAAAACTCAGACTTCCTCACGACGGTATGTACTCTAAAGGACTCGTAGAAACCGTTCTGTAATCTGCGGTTTCATGGATGAAGCAAGGAAAATCCTTCAGTGCTTTCAGGAACTCAAGTCCCCGTTCGCTTCGCTGAAAAAACAAGCCAAAACATTGTTCTAGCTAATTTGTTATGCGAGAAAAATAATGTTTCAATTGAAAAAACAAACTAAAAAGTACGGTATTCAGAGGCCGGGTACTTAGCTGTGGGCTCTGGCAGCAGGACGGTAGGTGGAGCGTCAAAAAAAAATAACGAGTACGTAGCTGTGGGCTCTGGCAGCAGGTAGGACGGTAGGTGGAGCGTCAAAAAAAATAACGAGTGAACTTGGATTTGTCTCATTTGGCAAAGCATCTATTTCATTTATATTTTAGTCTGTTTATATTTAAGGTACATATGCAGGGGCGGATCCAGTAGTGGGGCGGGGGGGCTCAAGCCCGCGTACCCATCCCGAAACAGTGCAAATTACTGTAGAGTCTCTATAAAATTTTAGTCAAAGTTCTATAGTGTAGGGGGGCTGAGACTTAAGATCAAATAACAGTGTTGTTCAGCCCCTCCTAAAATATTTCCTGGATCCGCCGCTGTATATATGTCTCTTTCTTCCCTCGCACGAATGCACAACACGACGTCGGTCTCGGCGCCGCATCTACATCGGCCCATATGCAATAGCATTACAGTTAGGTGCTGTTTGTTTCGACGTTTCCACCCTGTGATCGGTTCACAGCGTGAATAGGTAACATTAGTTTGTGTTTGGTACGCCCAGCCCGTAATATGTTACGCCGTAAATGGATCTGGCCCTGTAGCCCGCGGTTCCTGCCCCCCTCCGAGCGGTGACTGCTCCCTTCGAGCTCGTGGCTAACCAAACAAAAAGCCTGTATCCCTTGCATGCAACGGATTGGTGCAGGATTTTATTACGTTACCATTCGCGTTGCCCTAACTAGACCAAACAGCACCTTAGCTTGGTTATGAAAAAATTTTCAGATTCAATGTTTCTGGATATGATTCTGTCTCCCGCCTCCTAGAGTCATCGTTGCGTCGTCGTTGTCAATCTAAAACGGTGGAGCCCATGCTATTTCTATGCATCCATGTGAGTGACACTGTTTATGGACAGGCCACCCGTCACGGCATGGGCTCGGGTAACAACGACGCAACGACGACTCTAGGAGGCGGGAGACAGAATCATATCCAGAAACATTGAATCTGAAATTTTTTTCATAACCAAGCTAAGGTGCTGTTTGGTCTAGTTAGGGCAACGCGAATGGTAACGTAATCAAATCCCGCACCAATCGGTTGCATGCAAGGGATACATGCTTTTTGTTTGGTTAGCCACGAGCTCGAAGGGAGCAGTCACCGCTCGGAGGGGGCAGGAACCACGGGCTACAGGGCCAGATCCATTTATGGCGTAACATATTACGGGCTGGGCGTACCAAACACAAACTAATGTTACCTATTCACGCTGTGAACCGATCACAGGGTGGAAACGTCGAAACAAACAGCACCTAACTGTAATGCTATTGCATATGGGCCGATGTAGATGCGGCACCGAGACCGACGTCGTGTTGTGCATTCGTGCGAGGGAAGAAAGAGACGTATATACCTTAAATATAAACAGACTAAAATATAAATGAAATAAATGCTTTGCCCAAATGAGACAAATCCAAGTTCACGCGCTTTTTTTTTTGACGCTCCACCTACCGTCCTACCTGCTGCCAGAGCCCACAGCTATGTACCCGGCCTCTATACACACTGTTCCAAATGCCACTGAAGTGCTAACCTTGTATTTGTTTCCATACCCTCTCATTCAACGGTGGGTTTAGAAACATGCCAATTAGGCTAAATAATTGTACTAATTGATGTATGCTTAGGATCGAAGTCAGGACTGGTAGTATGTCCGTGTCCTGATTACTTGGATGACTTGTTTTACTTCTACCACTGGGTAAGCGTATAACCTTTAGTTTAGTGCATCCAATCTTGTGACAAGTGACATACGCAATTATATAATAAAAAACGAGCTAGTTGCATGCACTGTTAACTGTGACAGGTCAATAGGTGAGTGAGCTGTCTGCAGGGCCTTGGCGATTTTCATTTTGTTTCCATCATGAGAGGGCAAGGATATATACATCTTGTTGATGCAAGCTAACACTTGTGTTTTGGTCTCTGCTAGCTTAGTAATAAACCCACAGGGCCACAGGCCAGAGCACAATACAATGGCACTCAGCAGCGAGTACGACAGCAGGGAATTGCTCCAAGCGCAGGTCGAGCTGTGGAACCAGACCTACAGCTTTATGAAGTCGGTGGCACTCGCCGTTGCCTTGGACCTCCGCATCGCCGATGCGATCCACTGCTGCGGTGGCGCCGCCACCCTCTCCCAGATACTCGGAGAGATTGGTGTCAACCCTTGTAAGCTTGCCGGTCTCCGGCGCCTAATGCGTGTTCTCACCGTCTCAGGAATCTTTACCATCCAGCCTTCATCAGCAGAAGCCACATCGTCGGAGTCGGACGGGCGCGAACCTGTCTATAAGCTGACAACAGCATCCCGCCTCCTCGTCAGCAGCAACAGCGGCGGCGAGAGCTCGGTGACGGCGAGCTTGTCTCCTATGCTGAACCACGTGCTTAGCCCCTTCCGTGACTCGCCGCTCAGCATGGGGCTTACTGCGTGGTTCCGGCATGATGAAGATGAACAGGCGCCTAGGCCTGGCCCTTGCCCGTTCACCCTGATGCACGGAGGGACCTTGTGGGAGGTGTCCGGGCGTGACCACGCAGTAAACGCGTCGGTCAACAACGCCATGGCTGCAGATAGCCACTTCCTAATGCAGGTTGTCTTGAAGGAGTTTGGCGACATCTTCCATGGGATAAACTCGCTGGTCGACGTCGCTGGCGGGCTTGGAGGAGCTGCCGTGGCCATCGCGGCGGCGTTTCCGTGTTTGAAGTGTACCGTGCTGGACCTCCCTCACGTTGTTGCCAAGGCTCCTTCCATTTCTATTGGCAACGTGCAGTTTGTTGCTGGTGACATGTTTGAGAGCATTCCACTAGCAGATGCTGTCTTCCTCAAGGTACATCGTCATGTAGTTATATATATGTTTTTTTTTCTATTCCAACCATTTTAAATTATAAGTTATTCTAACTTTCCTAGAGTCAAAGCATCTCAACAATTCATGTGAAACTGTCAAGATATAATGCTCAACAATCAGCTTATTATTGCTTTTTTCAGTGGATTTTTCATGACTGGAGCGATGACGAGTGTATCAAGATATTAAAGAATTGCAAGCAAGCTATCCCTTCTAGAGATGCAGGAGGGAAGGTAATAATCATTGATATTGTGGTTGGATCTAAGTCATCAGACACTAAGCTTCTAGAGACACAAATAATATGTGATCTCGATATCATGAAAATTGGTGGTGTTGAACGAGGTGAGCAAGAGTGGAAGAAAATATTCCTCGAAGCTGGATTTAATGACTACAATATTATGCCGGTTTTGGGCCTCCGATCGATCATTGAGCTATATCCATGAACGCTCAGCAAACAAGTCTGCTAGAGAGAAATAAAAGCATCTGGCGTGTTGAGTCTTCTAGTGACTTCAATTATGTTGTTTGAATTGGTGAAATTTAAGTTTGATCCAGTCCGAATGTTACTGTTTAAATTCAATCAATTTCTTTTTTCTGTATCTTAGCCAGATAGTGAGCACATATCACACGCTCTGGCACCCTGATAAAAGAGCATGACCAATTGTTCAGTTGTACCATGAGTTCGTTGCTTTGGAATCTCTCTATTTAGTCTGAGGGCTACTTGATGGGTCTGTCCCATTTTCACGGTGTTTGATTCAGAGCCACGTTGGATCAGAGGAGATTATCACGAAAACACTACCGGAGACTGTGTAGTTACCGAGTGCCCCGACAATTACCGAGTGTCATAAGTCGGGGCACTCGGAAAACAACATTTACCGAGTGTCAACACTCGGAAAACAAAAACACCCGGTAGTAGACCGCTTTACCGAGCACATACTCGGTAACTTAAGACAATCGGTAAAACTACAAGTTTACCGAAGGGGCGCACTCGGTAAAACTAGACACTCGGTATTGAGGTGCCACGTCACCTAGGATAGCAACCGTGCGCCGAACGGCGTCACGGCATGACATATTTACCGAGTGTTATGAGCGTACACTCGGCAAAAATCACGGTAACAGCTCCGCCCGTAAAGCGCCCATAGCAAATAAAAAAGACCGAAAATGTTTACCGAGTGTCACTGCACAACACTCGGTAAACACTATCTTTTACCGAGTGTATTGGCGCAACACTCGGTAAAATTCAACCAAATTTCTTGTTTTTCCCTTCATTCTTTTTCCTCTATCCACATATGATATTTAGTACTCCATTCCAAAATATGGTGTTTATTTCGATTTATTTACTATATTTCACAAAATTTTCATTCTTTATGAAAATTAGGTACATATCGTGTAAATTTAATTGTAATAATTAAAATCGAACTCGATAAATCACGAGATTGGAAGAATTAACATTGAAGCATACATCTATGTTATAGAAAAAAATTTCATAACGTTTTGGAAGTATTTTTACATTCGTCGCTGCCGAACCGGTACATCTCCCAAAGAGACGCTAAACATTCACAATGACGAGTAGGATTTCTATTAAGAGTGAAATTCAACAATATGATTTGAACTTGGAATTTTTAGATAGTAAATAGATGACATGAAATAGTTCATGTGAAAGTTTGGTGAATTTTAGGATTAAATTGGCATTTTTTCTTTTTGTTTTGCATGAAATAATGGATACTTTTACCGAGTGTGACCTGAAACACTTTCGGTAAAAGGTTAGCCACGGCCCACTTGTTCCGCCATAACGGTGGGCTGCCATGCTTCTATTTACCGAGTGCCGTAGATCTGGGCACTTTCGGTAATGTAACATTCAACACACCCGCTTCTCCTCAAATCGTGCAGACACGCACACACACACACCGCACACGCCTCCCCACCGCCATGGCCGCCTCCTCCCTCCACCACCACCCACCACGGGCGGTCCCCACACCGCCACCACCGGAGAGACGGAGAGAGAGAGAGAGAGAGAGAGCAGTGACACCGGCGCACCGGACGACGATCCCCTCCGCCGACGCCGCCCGTGCTCCCTCCTTCGCTCCCGCTTCTCATGAGGTGGGGTGGGGTGGGCCCCAGCAGAACGCAACGGCGGCGGCGGCGAGCACTCTCCCCTCCACCACCGCTGCCACCAGGCGGTCCCCCACAGCCGCCCACCACGGGAGGCGGTCACCCGCCCACCACCAGCAGGGATCGCCCGCCCCGCCGCCTCCTCCTCCCTCAAGCTCCGGACCTGCTCATCTCTGACTAAAGCATTGCTCTCAAACGCTCGGTAATTTCCTTGCAATCGTACAATAGATCCCTTGCTTTTGATAAAACTTGGCCCATTGCTTTGATTCTATCCAAGCACTTTGCAAATTAGAGAAGAGATAAATCAGAGAGAAAGAGAAAATATTCAATGGTTGATGGATGCTTATCTTGTTCATCTTTGTTGCCCAATTGAATAGTCGCTTCACAAAACAAACTTCATATTCGAGATCCTCTCAACTGTAGGATTTCTATTTCTTGAAGGTTAATCAATGAAAGTTTCTCGATTTTCCAGTTTGATTGTTGAGCACAAACACAACCCGGTGGGCATGAAGTTTTACCCCGACAAGCAACATATTAGCATCATAAGTTTAACATATAACACCGTATGGAATAAAAGGAGAGGAACCTTAAAATTACCGTAATCCCTAAATACTTAGGCCCCATTTGAACCATTTGGATTCTGAGAATCCACATAGAAAAATTCCCAAAATCCTAGTATCTCATCAAACAGTCTTGATTTTAGAGGATTTTCACTCATAGATATTTAAAATACTCAAATCCAATAAAATGCTGTGATTCTTTTTATCTGGATTCTCGAATCCGATGGGATTCAAACAACACTCTCCTGCACCGATCGCTGGAGTTGGTAGATGCCAAGGATCTGGCCCTCGACAAGCTGCTCCACATGCTTTAGCATCACCTGTAAATACATGATCTATTTATATTATTACAGGCATCCTCATTTCCAGGCACCAACTAGATAACGAGTGCATTAATCAACAACTATATATCTGATTGTTGTTAGAATTTCTACACCATGCATAGTAAATAATTAATAATAGTATACTACCTTTATAACCTCCGAGGGGCGAAAAGCCTCCCAACCAAAGGAAGCAACGCTCAGCAGGGGATACCCACACCCCAGCACAAAGAGGTGGAAGACATCGGCCCTGGCCATGGCGCCTTTCAGGTGCAGCAGCTCCTCGTGCTGCGCCATGCCACCATTCACGAAGCTCTGCAGCTGCTCATCCGCCAGTGCTCGCTCAGCAGCGCCGCCCTCACCTGGAACATCAGATTGCTGTGCTCTTCAACCCACCTTCCATACTCCACGTCAAATACTGCAGCTGTACATTCATCATGCATGCATGTTACATACACAGAATTAAGTAACTTATGGAATTAACAGTATGTAGAGATGAAATGGAGTGTCCCATTATTGTTACCTGGTGAAGGGGCAGAAGGAAAACCTGGCTGATCACCAGTGCCCAAGAAGACACCCTGAACATAGTAGTAGTGACTTGTTAATTAGCCATGTACATGATGATTAATATAAGTACTACTGTGTGGCAAAAGCAGCTCCTCCAAGATACTGCTGGTAGAAGAATTAATACCTGTACTCTTGCCACTTGAACTTGTTGTTCAAGCTGGCTGAGCCTGATCCTACTTGTCTCCAACTGTTGGATATAAGCCTGAAGAGTAAAACAAGAGTGGATGCATCAATCCATATGGTAACTTTGTGGGTGTACTCTAAACATTCCTTAAAAGGTTGGCTAGATAGATTAAAGGCATTTTTAGCGTACTTATTGAGTGCTAAGGAGATATTTTAGAAGGACAAAAGCTTTTGAACTAACTTGTAAAGTTAATCCAATTTCTGAATCAAGGTTTTAAATCTACGATTATATAGTTGATAGCACGGTATGGCCTCATTTAACTTCACCATTAGCTGTTAGAGAGGCCCTCTGCTAAATGAAATCACGATTATATAGTATATCAAATAGTATTTACATGGGTCACTAAAATTTAAGTCTACATATATATAAAAATGAAATCACGAGGAACGTTCCTTAGGTGCATCATTTTTTTGCATTGGAAAGTGATATTATTCTTTAGGTGCATTGTCAAATTCAAGAGAAAGGAAAATCAAGTACACTTATCCTAAAGCACATGTAAGGCCAAAAGGACAGAACCAAAAAACTGTTACATCACAAAATTCATTTAATCAACCTGCATGCTGACACTTGAGACTTCAATAAGGAAAGCAGCAATCAGTTTAAAATTGGTGTACTGCAAGAACAAAAAATACATTTACATGTTTAAGGGATATATATTTGTATATATATGACTGGGAGGATACCATATAAATGTTTTGGTTGTTCCTTGAACTTTACATAATTGTACAGTATGGTTTCTCAATGTAGTGCATGTAAGTGTCTTAGTTGAGTGACTCACCTTCTTCCTAAGCCTGCTCTTCTTCTTGCCAGCCTCTCTATTCTGCAAGCCTCCTCGATGTCTGCAGGATATACATAAATATATATATAACTGATGCACTGCAGTATGTATGAAGTGACTTTTCATCCTCCAAGATCACTTTGAACTGTGGCAAGAATCTTAATTAGGAGTCACTGACTCTCTCACCTTAGGGTCTTTCACTCTCTCCTGAGCACCACCAGATGCTGCACCCTTTCCACCGCTATTTTCTTCCTTCTGCAAATTAATTTGGCACCTTGTTTTGTTCAGGGAGAGAGAGAGAGAGAGAGAGAGAGAGAGAGAGAGAGATGCATGCATACCTTAGTAAGGCTATTCCTGTTATCCTTGGCTACAAAAAAATTGGTTCCATGTATTCCTCCATCTACAAGTGACATAGCGGCCTTTCAACCTTAGGTAAAATCTCATCATCCAATCTAGCAAACATCTTCTATGTGAATCGACCAAGAACATGAATGTCTCTTTATCATCTCATATGGTTTTTCTCTAGCACTACTACTCTATTGCTCTAAACTGCAATATCGTCTATATGTTAAGATGGATGACCGTCAGTGGATGTACACGGGCTATCAGAAGAGGGGTCAATACACAAATGAATGGATTGAGAAGGCCAATGATTTCATGACGAAGGCATTTGCAAACGGACGGCGACATGCCCGTGTGTCCTCAGAGGAAGTGTAAGAACAAGGCAATGAAAACATATGAGGAGATGACTAAAGATCTTGTCAACAATGGATTTGTAGAGAACTATACCCGGTGGACCATGCATGGTGAACGCCATCGTCTGCGAGAGAAGAGGTCGTGAGACAACGGATCGAGGAGTTTGATTCTGAAGCCGGGTGGCGAAATGTTAAATGACCATGACATGGCTTTCGATGAAGGAAGTGCA